AATGCAGCGAACATTTTATTTCCTGACATGTTGAGAAATGGTGTAGGAGCGTCTCCAAGTCCATGCTGAGGATATAGAAGGCATAAACCCATACCGTTTCCTTCGGCTGTCTGCTTCTCTTCCAAGGATCCTTGATGCTGGCTTCGAACAAAAAGTCTGTTTCGCATTGATGGTGATATGCGTGGCCATCTGAATCTTTGCACATGGCATGCATGCTGAAGTGAGTCGCCGAGAACACTTGTAGAGTATTAAAACAAAGTCTTGTCGAGTGCCTCGGACCAGGGTGAAGTCGGCTCTCAGGTATGCGATCCAAGATATGATGGAATGATCCAAGGTCCTCCTGATATCAGTCGCATCACGCGGCTAATATTAGTGTACTGACCGTGAAGATGCGAAGATCCATCAACAAGTCACCGCACATGTTTTGACAAGTCGATACCATATTTGGTTGGGTCCACATGGGCTCCCTTGACATGTCGCCGAGGGTGTTCGAGATTGATGTACGATGATCGCGACGATGACAGCAAGATTAAATCGGTACCGATACAGCATGGATCAAGAAGGTTTGGATCAGGTATAGAGGCTTGACCATGCTGCTGGCTCTGATAAAGGGATGACGAGTCTGAGTCTGGTCTAAGCGAGAGTAAAGGGCTGGGAATGGCCCGAATATTTCTGTTGCTTTGTTTGAAGCTGGGGCTCGTCACCGGTAGATGTTATTCTCTTTAGCGTCCTGGAGCACTAACTTAGCCTAAGGAAGGCACTGTCTGCCAAACTGCAGCGGATAGCACTTTGGATGGCACTTTCCCCCACATGCTCCATCCAGATCCGGACAGGCACCTTCCCGGGATGTTTTTTTTGCCGGGTAGATGCTGGAAGCCGAGCTGGGCACGCTGGAATAGGCTACTAGACCAGGATAAACTGCTAGAACTTCAGCGCTAGACAATGCTATCCCACGCTATGACGGTGATCTTGGTCAACTCCATCCACATCATGGTGCCTGCAATATCAGAAAAAGAAAAGAAAAACAAAAAAGTCAAATTTTTCGAACGGTCAAGGAGATGAGACATGTGCGAAGAAGGGGAACACGAAAAAAAAGCAAAGAAAAAAGGAAAGAACCAGGAACGACCCACGCATCCATATCCTTACAAGCTCCATCCTTCAATGACCTTGTCTTGTCTTGTCTCCTAGTCCAGTTACGAGTCTTTGCCCCCTTTCGTTTGCCATCACATCATCTATCAATTTCCATCACAAAGGAAGGTTTTCATCTACACATGGATCTGACTAACCCTTGAGCATTTCGAATCCCAGCACACAGGTACTGGTTTATTGGCTCTGTTGTCTCGTTTACATCTCCCCTGGGCTAGCTTGCCTCAGCTGGTCTGGCTAACTAAAAGCTCAGACTTGGGCTTGGGTTTTTAGGCTCGAATCTTGTCTGGTTGACTGGAAGTTATCTCATCGGCGATAAATGCAAGTCTTGTTTCCTCACCACCTCAAAATGTTCCTCTCCTTCGCCTCCCTGGATGGATGCTATATCAACCCAACTCACATATAGGCCTGATCCTGTGCCTGCATTTCAATGCTTGTGTGCAACATCATCTAAAGCATGACACCTCATTCTGCACATCATCATTGTCCGGAATCCGCTGCATTGAACTCAACTGCTACCATCTTTCTTTCTGTGTCTTGTCGTCTCTTCTCTCCGTTCACCTCTTGCTTCTTTTCCAATTTCGTCATGGTCAGCCTCACCTTGTTTTTCATTTCTTCTCTTTTCTCCTCAAACTTCTATTTTTTCCACTGCCTCGTACCTTAGCAATATTGATATGCACTCACTAGTGACTGTCTTGCTTGTTCTGTGGACTATTCCATGTCAAGTCAACTTTGCTTTTTTCTATCTGGCCCAACGTGCCAGTGACTTTCAGCCTTTCCAAATCAAGTGCCTGTCGCACGGATGTTTGCGCGCGTATACATCCGCCTACTCATCCATCCCCTTGCACGTTTGCGCCTGAGAAAGCTCCACGGCCACGAGCTACGGAGAATCTACTCTAACTACTGCAACCTTATCAACGCCCTCGAATATGTCTTACTATTCACGCCCCCTCCCTTACTTTCTTTTCTTTCTTATTCTTTCTTCATCTCAGATGGACCCCCCCTGCCTCTCTAGATCGCACATTGACAGGTTTTCGCTTGTCTTGATCAAGGTCAGCCTCGTTAGGCCTCACATCGACCGAATCAGCTTCTATGTAAGCACATAGCCTATTCTAGTCCTACAGCAAGTCGCCTCTCTACCCGCTTCCGCTCCCGTTACCGTCCGTCTTAGACTGACGGGTTACGGCACGGCCCATTTTGAGGTCAAAGCAGTTTAGTCCACACCCGTCGTGAACTTTGATCCAGAGGAGTACCTCATGTGCCAGATTCCACCCTAATCCCCCAAGGGGTAGAAAAAGCAAACCCAACTTGGAGCCCCATCTACCAAGTTACAGGGCCTTAGTAGTGTGTACATAGTCTACGGATACCGATGGACGGTACGCTTGTTGCGTAGTTTGCCTGTCAGCAAAACTATAGTCTTTCTTTTTCTGAGTATCTCGCTTGTAAATCCGTTCGAGCTCACTCAGTAGTCTAGTGGCTCGGATCCTCTTAACTATTTATATATGTACTTCCTCCTCAAGCCTTCTCTCACGACGCTTCTTTTTCCAGCCCTTCTTTGTGATCGCCTTGAACGCCCATCTTCTTTGCCGTACAACACATCACCAGTGGCTTCACATCCTTGACCAGCTGCAATTTAATCTCACACAAGCTTCTTGTCTACGTACAGCCCGCATTGCCGTCTTGGTCATCCTTTCCGCTTAACGGCATCTAATCCTCTTCTGCCACATCATCGTCCCGGCATCCTGGACCCAACTCGTCTGCTCGCCTTCGTCCTACCTTTCAGGCCTCGCAGATACATCATCGGTTGGGCTACTGTTCAGCATACCTACTGTCGCCATCTTGTTTGAGACCTGACGCCGCGTGTATCCTAGCAATCCCTTGCGTACGGCTTGGCTTGATTGTATATATAAACCCGTCTTCACCTCTCACTACTCTGGTCAAATCCATCAGTTCGAACACCGTGCTTCGAACACAATTTCTTTCTATCCTAGCCATTGGAACCTCTTCTATCAATCATCTTGCCTTATATATCACTCTCAACCTCAGAATCAAGCTTGGTATCAAGACATTAAATATCGACTACATTTCCTCTGCAAAATTCATCAGCAATGACAATGGACACCCAATCCACCACATGGCAGAACCAGCTTCAGAGTACGTAGCCTCAACTCGCTTTTTAGGCTCAAAGATCTAATATTGACTACCTATAGATGTCTGTGAACTCAATTCGATCACTAATCCAGTATTCCAGGATTTCTCAGATCGCCGTGGTATGTTCATTTCACATTGCGCCTTTGTGGTCTTGACTAAATTTGACTTTTCCAGGCGGAAGAACTGCTTGGTCAAGCACAGTGACTGTCCATGGCCAGAAAGTTCCAGCTCGATTCTGGTATGACGGCAAAAACATCAACAATGCCAGAGAAGATGCCGCTGAATGTGCAGTCAAGTGGCTGACCGGTTCAGAGTCCGGCTCTCCCACTCGAAGTCGGGGTTACTAGACTTCTGGCGCGGGTGTCACCTTTCTCATACGCTGGCTTGCTTATGCAGCAGGCCTTTGCCAATTCGGACTAATATGATCGCTAAAAACGGAGGTTTCTTTTTTTCTTTTTCATATTTGCGGTTCACCTCTTGTCTTTCCTTCTTTCACTTCATACAGCCGGAGTTTGGTAACCTCACCCCAGCAAAACAGGGAGGTTTAAGGGTCACCGCGCAATTAGTGCTGTAACAACAGAGACCTTTGTTTGGGTTTGGGTTGTATCATACGAGACAGATAACGAGGTGAAGTCGAATTATGTTTTTGTACGACATGGGAATTGGGAGGATATGTCGGTTAGGGATGAACGTTTTGGTTTGGTGTTTGACGGAATAGTTACACGAGGGATTTGGGCCAATGGGTTTTCATTAAGGATGTTTATAAAAGTATGTCTGACAGGAAAAGAATGGGCTTAGAACTTATACGGTTTGGTTCGAACTTTCTTAGAAGCTCCAAAAAGATTATTTACTTTTCATAATATAGCATGCCCCTTTGTAAGTGAATGCTCGCCACCACTCCCTTGGGAAGGGGGTGGTTGTTACAGATCAAGTTGACTTGATTAGATGTTACATTATATCTTGGATGAACCAACAGATCATTACAGCGTCATATGCTCATACAATGGCCGACTGCTCATTTCTTGAAATGGAAGCTCATGCTCAATCGATGTTGTGCCCCCACGTCGGTGCAGCCACGGTCGATCCGGGTGTAAGTTGGTGCAGCGTATCACATGAAACTGCATGTCCATAACGGTCTGTGGCTTGTTCTACTGAAGCAGCCGATCTCGGTGCTTTGAGATATGGGCGAGCTTTGAGAGTGATCTATGGGGTACCATTTACAACAAATGTCAATGGAGTAGGGTTTCGTATATTAAACGTTCGCAATTCCCACCATGACTTACAAGTAGCATGGAAGCAATTGAATCAAATAACGTGATTAAAGTGATTTCTTTAATATTGTGCGGATGATGTATTAGACCAATCGTCGTATTCCTATCAAGACAAAGATGTGGATGATAAATCTTCACCAAACGTTTCGACGCCGTTATAACGACCTTTACATAAAGATCTCGGCGACAATCTCGATTCGTCCATGGAAAATACATTTCAATTCTTTTACGCCTTTCTTAAGTGTTTCTTGACATTTCCTCGTCGTGATACTCTCGTGTAGTAAGTTAAAGCGGGACCACAGTAGTCGGAACATTATTTCCCCGCGCTACCTGAGTTTTGCATCGCGAACTTGTCCATCCATCGATCACAAGAGCCACGAGGCTGCTGTAGAACTCGCTCCACGAACGCTGTAAGCACCGCGGAGCTCAGTCATGTCTCCGAGAACGAGTATATGGGGCGCATGCAGAGCTCTCGCAATTCGGTCGAGACCTGTCGCCCCCCGACCAGCCCCATTCGTCAACGCTCTCCCAAGAAATCGATGGTACTCGAACGACGGAAACGACCAGCCCCCGAAGGCAATTGGCACCGCTCAAAAGGCCCAGGAGTCCCAGGTTAGCTCGGTTGAAGCCCCCGCGGCTTCGACAGGAAATGGGGATGCTGAGGTAGGAATTGGTCGTTCGAAAAGCCCCCACGTCCAGCAGCTAATGGGGCTGCCATCTAGGTGACGTCTTCGCCAGCCTCTTCCGACGAGATTATCGACGATGCGACACTCGAGCAAATATTCTACGGCGGCCGCACACAGTCAAGCACGATTGAGGGTGGTCTGACACCAGCGCAGGAGGATATTCTTTACCGAGAGGGTACCATTCCTTCGGCTGAGAAGGCCGAAGCTCTCGTTGCACAAGCAGAGAAGGCTGAGTTGGACTCGCCCGACAGCACTGAGATGCAAAACCCCGGACACAAGTTTGGTCTACCAAAGCGACCTTGGCCGGAAGGTTTCAACATGAAGAAGCGTTACCATCCTGTGCTGGAGCAAATTGCTCGACTCCTCATGAAGGATGGTAAGCTCAGTGTTGCTCAACGAGTAAGTCTGGTCTTCGAGAAAGATTTGAAGGACAATTATTAACAAGTGACTCAGAATCTAGCTATCGTCATGAGCTACCTCCGAACCGCGCCACCTCCGATCTACAGTCCGAAATTCCCCCTCCTGCCCGGTACTCCCCCGGCCACACATCTCCCTCTCAACCCGATTCTATACATTACCGTCGCTATTGACTCGGTAGCTCCTCTCCTCAAGATCCGCAACGTGGCGGGTGCCGGTGGTGGTGGTCGCGCGCTAGAACTTCCCGTCCCTCTGGGTGTGAGGCAGCGACGACGAGTTGCCTTCCAATGGATTCTGGACGTTATCAACAAGAAGCCCTCCAAGGGCAGTGGACGCAAGCAATTCCCCTACCGAATCGCTGAGGAGATTGTTGCTGTCGTGGAAGGACGTTCGGGTGTGTGGGAGAAGCGCAAGATGGTTCACAAACTGGGTACGTCAGCCCGAGCAAACATTGGGTCCAACAAACTCAAGGTCAAGAAGAAGATGTAGATTTAGATGGGACAAGGTCGGAGCTCATGCTCCGTTTTGGGTTGTACAGTAGATGTGCCAAATATGTAACTATATCCAGCCATTTGATGAAAAGAGGCATTCAAAAATCTCCAACAATCGAGGTTACCCTGTGCTCTGATATGAACGTTGTTAGGTGATGTTACTCGGCGGGGTACCGATGTGCTTTACAGACTCATGCATGCGCCATGGCATGAGAACTACATCCATGTCTGAGCTGGCATTCTCAGCATGAAGCACTTGATTTGCTTTTCGTCGCCCCAATAGAGTCGGTTTTTCTGCTGCCCCAAGACAAGCGTAGGAACCACTCTGTATGGAGTTTGATGCACTGATTGGGCCTCGCGTAAACGAGTGGGAACAAAATCGATGATATCGGACGCAGCCACGGATGGTACCGAGAATCCGGGCCCGATGCGGGGACAGTAATGCCGACGGTCCAGATTAGAACGTGCCGGGGTATAAGATGGAGGCTACAATTTACTCGCAGTGAGGAGTCGAGTTTCGACGATGGAAGGTTCGTATTGAATTGCTGTTTAATTGACTGCCTGGAAACACTCATCGAGTGCCAAGTGATTGTTCCGATCTCTTTCTTAAACTTAGTTGTGTTCTGAAGACAGTTTGAGTTGCGCCATGCATACGGAAATGAGTAAATGTCCATCGAAAACGGAGATTCCTTCGTTTTCATATAATCGTATTGCTTTTGATAATGGATAACAGACCAAATGATCTAAAAATACAGTCTGAACTTATGGACTGGTCAATCGTTTTCGTTTATTATGTTCTCGATGGCCAAGTTTCTGTATCGTAGTCGATATTGGAAGAAGCCTGTGTTTCTGCGAATACCAGAAGTAAAAACTGGACGCATAATCCTTTTGAAACCCCCTCAATAAATCTACAATTCATTCAACCAAAGTGAAACTGCAATCTCAATGCCTTCTCTTTGTTTCCTTTTTCTGTGTAGGGAAGTACTACACATATTGTTTCGTTTCTACCACCTCTGTTCGACTAACTTTAAAAGTTTCCTACATTGCTTCTTTTAAGTCTAAAGTCGTCGACACTTACTACCCGGATATTTGAGAGAATAAAAATAAAACTCCTGGCCGTTTAGAGACTAATTAATTCAACTGTTGGAAAGTCGATTTATGCTTACCGGACTTTAAAGATTTAAAAACAACGTTCATGGCATTATCTAGATTAACGGATCAATAATGGCTGAACACAGTTTTCGGAGATTTGCATCTTGATACTAGAAAATCATCCCATTCTTATTGTGATCCTAGTTTGGGACCCAAACCGGTGAAGTCTATCATCCAATGATGAAACTTCGATTTAGAGACGGTAGAATGATGCTTTCACATGACGACTCCACATCCCGGAACCCAGTAAAGGTCCATCTGGAGCTTCAATGATTTATTAATGTTTTAGCAACAAAAATTGAACTGGGTATATTGATTCATCTCCTATAAATGTTTTCGGATCTACAGGTTCGGCTTGCGAGGAAATTAACCTCGTGCAGTAGTAGTAGTGACGGTGCACCACTTTAAAAAATACCTTAACCGATGGCTTGTGCTGTCCATGCATATCGTTGCCACAATAGTTATCTTAGTGCCCAACCTCCAGGGCATTCCTAGCTGTTTCTACCCCACCACTCGGTGATCTTCCACACATCTGTGGCCCAAATTGGGGGGCTTGTCTGGGCTGCGCCGCTCTCTGTTCTAGGCTCAAACTCCTCTAACATTTAGACTCCACGCCTTACCTGCTCCTTCCCCAGAGCCTAGACCTGAATTCCACTACCGGCATCAACCTTCTCCTCTCCCCTCTTCTTCTTCATTCTCCTCCTTCCCTTCTTCAATCTCAACTCATCTCCTCGTCACACGACGAAGCACATACGACTATTTATCCAGCCTAGTTATAACTCCCCAGCATTAGCTCTTGTACCGAATTGCGACATTACGAACCGAACATTACTACGCCGCCATTCAGCGCCGGCCAGCTTCACCGAGTCCCCTCTGACGTATCGACTCGAATTCGACCACGATAGCTTTTACTTCGACTTGTAGCCATCATCATCAACAAGTATATCCAGATATCTGTTTACTATCGAATCAAAAGGCGATAGCACTTGTATAGTACAGTTTCAGGCCCGCGCAAATGTTATTTCGGCCTACATACTACACTCTGAGCTCTGTCTAAGAGATCCCCGCCAAATTTATTGATTCGTCTGGCACAACGACTGAGTCCGCTTGATTCAGCTCTCGCTGCATTCTCACCCTCACTACACAAATACCCATCTTTATCAGTACCGATTGTATCTTTCCGCCATCATGTCGCACAACCAACCCATGAGCATAGAGGCCATGCTCGATATGGAGCGTAAGGAAGTTCTGGCATTGCTAGAGAACAGGCCTAAACCTAAACCTTCCATGCAAGGCGCCATGCGATCTGCCTCACCTTATGCCACTCCTCGATCTCCCGTTCGAAGCATGTTGGATGTCGGTAATCAACCAGCGCCCGGCTCTCCTCGCCAAGGTCCGGTGCGGAGTATGCTCGATACCACCTCTCCTCCTCCGCCCAGAGTCCGAAGCATGCTGGATACCGACACACCTCTATCCGCCGCGAAGCCTTCTGGTACTAGTACAACTCCCAATTCCCCAGTTATGACCAAAGCATCCCTTGCACCTGCCAATTCTGGACACACTAGAAGCTTTTCCGACGCTGCGTCAAATCCAGTCGAATTTGGACCTCGCGCAGCTTCTCGGAATGACCCTACCGCAGGCTATCAATTTTCAGATATCATCACTCGTAACACAGGCCAGCAACTCCCCAAGAGAAACACACAGGGTGGTAGAAAGCCATCTGGAAATGCCATGAGCGAAGCACTTAGAAATACGGACCTCAGTGGCCTTCAAATTCCAGGTGAAAGTGATCGCAAGCGTTCCTGGTTTGGTGGCGGCAGCAATAGGAAATCCAAGTCACCACATAACCGTCTAGGATCACGGTCCAGGTCGCCCCATGTACCGCAAACACTAAGTCCCGGTACAGCTATGCTGGATGACGGCACTATCGTGGATTTAAGCAGCGCTTATCGTCGACTTTCCGACGCAAATTTGGCATACTCAACTGGTAGCTTATCGGCGCTGCCCAAGGGCCAAGCCAGCCAGAGTGGTCGTATGGTAAAAGACTATCTGGGTCCCGATGGCGAAGCACTGGGTTCCAGTGAAGAAGACGAACCATACTCATCTGACGATGAAGATCGTGGTCGTAAGAAGGATCCCAGGTCGCTCAATCCCGACGCTGTGGGCCAGTCGGGCGACGACAAAGAACGCCGAAAATCACTGAGTCTTATGGCTGCTGCAGAAGAAGAGCGTACGTGAACCCCCATCTTTAAATCTGGTCAGTCGCTAAACTTTTTTCTTTAGGTATGACTGTATCAAAGCAACAAGGATACCGTTCTCTATTTGATGAGCCAGAGATCAAGGTCACAACCCCCCTAGGCGAAAACACACGACTCAACAAAGGCAGCGGCGTGCATCCTAAGACAGCTTATGACCAGATGTCAGCTGTGGCTTCTGCGAACGATTCTGATGAGGAGCAAGATATGGATGACATCAAGAGAGCTCAAACTTTGGCCTGCTCCATGTCAAACATCATCTCTAACAACGAGTCTCACCGGGCTATTCGCATGATCTACCGTGGCGACTACGCCAAGATTGCCCAGCAAGCCGAAGACGAGCAACACCGCTTGCGAAAATATTTGGTTGCATCGGATCTAAGCGACGAATCAACACATGCCCTGGAATGGGCTATCGGTACGGTCTTGCGAGACGGCGATACGTTGATGTGCATATACTGTGTGGATGAAGAGACCGGCATTGGTGGAGTTGAGAATTCAGTTCCTGACGATCCAAAGGCCATGAAGGAGCAAGCGGCTGCGATCAACACAGTTGCCAACTCGAGATCGGTCGCACCATCCATGTCTGCAGTGCCAGATTTCGTGCGCAACACGATTCGAGGTGATTCGAAGAATAACACTCCGAACACCTCTCCGGCGCCATCAAGCAGAGTAGGAGGGGAAAGAGGAAGGGCAGAGGATGAGCGGCGTCACGCCGTTAAGCAAATCACCGATAAAGTGCTCCGCCTTTTACGAAAAACAACTCTTCAAGTGAGGGTCATTGTGGAAGTATTGCACTGCAAGAACCCAAAACACTTGATAACAGAAGTGATTGACCTTGTCAATCCAACTCTGGTTGTTATAGGAAGTCGTGGAAGAAGCGCACTAAAAGGGTAAGTTACATTATTGCGGCTGTGTTTTTTAAGGTTAGATAACTAACATGTGACAGTGTCATTTTGGGATCTTTCTCTAACTACCTGGTCACCAAGAGTTCTGTCCCTGTCATGGTAGCGCGAAAGCGCCTTCGGAAGCAGGGTAAATACAAAGGTGTGAAGCCAGTGAACAATCTCAGCAACCCAACGGCTCGAAGTCTTGCCAATGCCAAGATTGATTAGAAAATGGGCATCAAGAACGAGAACTGCGTCTAGATATAGGGTGATGTATGTTGAGACATGCTTTACGAAGCTTGATGATTTGTTTTGCTGGGTAAGAGCGGCGTCAGGTATTCTATTAACCACCCGTAGAGCTGTGTTTGATTCATGGAGAATGAGAAAGCGCAATCTTTGGCGACTGGACAGAAGATGGATGGCTCGTTGTGTTATGGGTAGAAGTCTTTTTCTATGATGAATAACATATGCTACTAAGCGATTGGTAAAGTGTTTAAAGAGTGTTTTCAGGAGCTGGCAAATTAACGCTTTGCCCTATTATCCGTAATGTTACCTAGGTACCTTACTTAGGTAGTTAATCCTTGTACTAGTTGGTTAGTTGTCGTTGCATCAAGTTAGGTAGGAGAAAGTGGTTTGTCTCAGGTACGTCACGTGCATCATCTATGCGAAGTTTGATTCTTTTGAGTACGGAGGTCTGAGCAGTTGCGCTTAAGTTAAGAGAAATAAGCTTTGCGCTTTGTCGCCGGCGCGTAAATTGGGGACACAACTATCGAAATTCTGACTGTATTTTTTAATAAAATAACCAACCCACTTGTAATAACTCTTGATGACGGCCAACTGATCTATTCATCAGCTGTCAGCGAGATTTGCCATTCGCCACAGGGGGGTTGACTCATCTCATTGGCTTCTTAACCCCAACCCTAGATAGGTAGGTATCCGTATCCTGACTCGCTTGTCATATTATATGGTCCGCGTCTGACCTTACCTTGCCTTGCCTTGGTTTTGCCTGACCTTGTCTCGTCTCGTCCCCGGACGGACCAACAACGAGGCTGAAACCGACAACGGACAGCATGAAAGTGCTCCGCCACTACAAATTGCACTGCACCCCTTAAACGTTACTGGATCTGATCTCATGAATTGAAAGTGTTTGGTTTGGTTTGGTTTCAATTTTTCATGTTTTCCTCCATCTCTTGTCTCTTTTCCCATTCGCAACTATGAGACTCGTCAATACCAAGACGCTGCAGCTTGAGACCCTGGAGGAGGGGTCTGAAAAATACGCCATCTTGTCGCATACGTGGGGTAACGATGAGGTCCTCTTTGATGACATTCAGAGTCCCGCGCGCATGGACGAGATTCGAAAGAAGAATGGACCTGGGTATCGCAAGATAGCTCAGTCTTGTGAGAGGGCGCAGAGTCGCGAGCTCAATTACATATGGATCGACACGTGCTGCATCGACAAATCCAGTAGCGCAGAGCTCTCAGAGGCCATCAACTCCATGTTCCGCTGGTATAGCAATTCCGAAGTATGCTACGCCTATCTCTCAGATGTCTTCCTCCACGAAGTCGGGGTCGAATTGGCCGATAGCTTGAAGGGCAGCCGCTGGTTTACTCGTGGCTGGACACTACAAGAGCTGCTCGCCCCCAATGAGGTGGAATTCTTCGATCACAATTGGTCGCCTCTAGGCGAACGACATGCTCTGTCTTCAACAATCAGCGAAATCACAGGCATTGATGAGACATTCTTGCACAAGCCCGATATGAAAAAGGACCGAAGGGCATCGACAAAGCTCCAGCGTGAAAACGTGGCCACGAGGATGGGCTGGATGGCTCAGAGAGAAACAACCCGCGTTGAGGATATCGCATACGCTCTGATGGGTATTTTCGGCATTAACATGGCGATTCTGTACGGCGAAGGCAGCAGAGCTTTCTTGCGGTTACAAGAGGAGATTCTCAAAAGGTCGCCAGATCAGTCCATTCTCGTATGGAGATGGCCCTTGGCCCGCAAGCCTGAAACGAAAACGCAACGGATGCACTTTTTAGCTGATAGCCCGGCCAACTTCAACTTACGCACTTACGCCGGACAGGAGGATTCTGAGAAATTCGGGGTCAGGTTAACAGATCAAGGACTCGTTGTTCGTGTCTGGAAGTGTCCTTGCAAATTAACGCGCTGGAACCATGACAAGACGGAGCTTATAGACGCTGGGGACAGGTGGTTGGCTGTTCTCGACTGCAGCTTATCGCCAGATACTCTATCGCGGCCAGCAATAATTCTCGGGGAGAGTCCTTATGCTGAAGGCGTTTTTCGACGAGATCCTACGAGTGTTATCATGGTGATAGAACACGATCGCATGAAGTCGGGATACTTGGATACCGGCGGCGATCGACACGGTGAGTACAAGTCCCAACTATCAACACAAGCGCTCAGAACTGACCATTTTAGCGATACACTCCATCGAATACAAGCCTGAATTCAAGACAGAGACAATCCTGCTTGAGTCAGATACAGTCGAACCAGAAATCCGTTTACGAGGAAGCTTTCCCTTCAAAGTGAACATGACTCTCAAAGACCGTGAGCTTAAGCAGCGCGCGGCCTATACAGGGTCTCAACGATACGTTGTCGCCGGTCAGCTAGGAATCAAGCCAACTCAAAATCCCATATACGGAGTCATATTCTTAGGAGACGATGAAACCGAAACCGAGCTCGTTGTTTGGTGGGGTCTGATAGAAGAAGGCTCAGCCATGTACGACGTGCACAACCGACACAATGGCCCTCGAGTCTGGAGTAACAGCGTCCCCGTGTGCTTCGCCCAATCATGGAAGAACCTCACAGGGTCGGACAAGTGGGATGCCTCGCTCGCCGAGTCTCTAGCTGTGAACATGCTGTGCGAGGAGTTTCCTCTTCCATGGAAAGGAACCGAGCGGCCTTCAGTGGTGGAAGTCGAGGACGGACTGAACCTGCAGAATGCGATTGGCGATAGCAAACCCATGGCGACGGAGACAGTGATTGAGTTATTCACGCAGTGTTCTCAACCGATAATCGAGTGCGTTGGTTGGGGTATGAGACTCAAGGCGTCTATGAGAAGAGTTGAGTTCTTGGGACGGTTGTGCTGTGAACTAGACATTGAGGAAAAGAACCCCAACGTCGAGATTCCCTGATGCTGGCATCTGTGCATAGAGTTTGGGTGTTTTGCATTGAATCGGACTGGGATGCATGGGTGGTTGGTTGCATGTATTGGCGATGCTTTTATGGGCATGAGATTTGTACCAACATTCTGAAAAAGAGATGAGTGGTAAATAAACTAGATATACAATAGATATATACTGGTTCTACAAATTAAAGAAAATGATTTTCATGTTATGCACTATCTTGTCACTGTATTACGCTGCCTTCCGCTTGGTCCGTGAGACTATTATCCTTGGCCTTGATCTTGGTCAGTCTTCAAGGCCGCAAGTTCAGACCCAGATCCACAATTCTTGGATTCGTCAAGTGGTCCTCTTGTGCTAGTCTGGGCATCAACAACAGAGTCCCGCCAGCGTATCAAGAACGTGATCATTCGAGTCATAGTAGCGGTATTATTGGCTATGCGAGCTAAAAATCACAACATGGTCACGAACTGTACACTAACTAAATGGCTAACTCTGAAAAAGAATAACAAAACTAACGCGATTAATAGTTCGTCAGTGGCCTTTTCGCGTACTGGATCACATCATAAGAGACCATCGAATAAGGAAAGATAAGGGAGATCTGAGACAACAATAAACAAAAGACACCATGTGACCTCTTAACTTTCGCGTTTCATGAGAGGTCAACGCGTAGAGTGGATGACGGTTCTCACTCAAAGTGGACTAACGCGGGGGTTCAGTTCTGTACGGTTTCGATTGGATGTTATGCGTTGTCCAGAGCAAGGGTATGCCCAACCTCGTCGATTTTGGGGCCTTTGGAGGGGAACCTAGTTGACCTTGACCTGATTGAGAGCGAGGGGTAGGTAGGTGAAGGTGAAGGAGAAGGTAAGGGACCATCTCAGTGTCTACCTGCCGGTACCTGGCAAGTGATGTGCATTCTTATGTACCTTATCTTAGTCAAATAACCGAATCAATACTTCCAGGTTGTGTGTTTCATATGGTTCGCCTTCTTTTCTTCCATTCTTATTTCCTATTCTTTCCCATTTCATCCTTTCCCTCTTTCATTCCTTGGTACCTAAACCAACTGGTGGTCAGAGTGCGACCTCCATTATTAGGTTCCTAGGTGTCTTCCACACATCATCCTTGCATAGTACAGCTGTTGCTGTGCTGTACCTGCGCACTTTGGCACTTACCTGCTCGGGCCTTTCAATAGTTGGGACATTCATAACACTCTATTACCCTCTTTCTACCACCTACCTATTATCGTCAATAAACTTTACTTGAAACCGTTCTTACCGCAATAACATAACCTTACTCAACGTCCGTCAAAGACAAGCCAGAACCAAAAATCGCTCTTGTGACTCAGTCAACCCATAAGTCGTCTCTATGAATTCCTTCTTCACGGTAAACAACAACGTCTCGCTTATCAGCATTACAATTGCGCCGAGCACTTATCTCATCACTGTTGTTCTCCTACTTGTCTTTGCAATCATCTACCTACCTCGTCTTATCGCCTGCCGATTCCCCAGCCTCGGCATACCATTGCCATCTCTGGCGTCAATATTAAGGCCAATATTTGGAGATCCAGCAGATCATCGCCCACCAGCCAGATTTGAAAAGCCCCTCCCACCACCACCCTTCGCAGCATCTGCGCTTGTATTCGAGGATCAGCAACAATTGGTCGTCTCCGGACAGGATATCGTCCTTGCGCAACGTCGTCATTACCTTCAACAGCAATTGGCGCAAGAGCAACACCTACTGCTTGAACAGCAGAAGCAACTTCAATTCCAAGAAATAGAGCGCCGTGTTCGTCGAGACTCTCGCCATACCTCATCACCTTCAAAACATAGCCGTGATCATGGATCCTCACGACATGCTGGACGCGTCCCTACAGGACTTCGATCTCCCACCAAGTCCATCGCTGCCCCACCACTCAGCCCACCGCAGCGAAGCAGCAATGACAGAAGGGGATCTCGAGGACTCGGAGACCGCGTCCGCGGGTGGGTACTCCCCTCCAGCCTGGAGAAGACTCGGAAACGGAAACCGGAGTAGTGGCTTCTGGAGAGGTCCTGAAGATCTTCCATCCAATTATCCATCCCATTTCCCATCCCGGGGCATGAGCACGTTAATGGAGAGCACACCCGAGTTGGATGATAGTGAGGACGATGGGGTTTTAGAAAGGGCAATTCGCACAAGGTTACCCAAGGGAAGTCAGAGTCCGGAAAAGAGGAGGAGCGCCAGTCCTGGGACGTTCGACGACACCACAATACAGTTTCAACTTCAAGAAAGGGCAACTCCTATAAAAGACCTAAGCTTACACGGACCACCAGCCGACAATTGTAAGTGATGAGAGTGTGACATGATTTGCTCAATCTGTATCTAACACAGGTCAGATATCCGCTTCGCTGTTCGGGCCGAAGTTCAACAACGCACTGAGCCTATCGAGACAGCTATCAACTTTATACGTGACCATTTCAAGGCCGTGACTCGGACGTGGTCAACAACACTAAGCACCATTGTTGTTGGCTTCTTCGCCGTCTCCCTCTTCAAATCACTTTTACAGCCCGCTGCTCCGCGTCCCGTAGGCGACCTTGTAAAGGTCGCGGGACTCGCTCGCTCATTTGAGCCCCTCATTTATTACTCTGAGCATGCTGTCTCTCAAGTGCATGACCTTCAGGCCACGAGTGTGGCTGTTTGGGATCTTGGCGAAAGCGTGCGTAGCAGCGACATGCGAGATGCAACTAGCATCGTGGCAGATCTAGACGCCCTTAGTGAAACCATGAAAACACTGGCTCTGGAGATGACCAAGTTCTTTGCCAGAGTGGACGGTGATATTGATGGGTAAGTCGTCACCCAGATAGATTCGTACATATCTCTAACGTTCTCACAGTATTCTCAATGTTATGGACTGGGCAAAAATGCATCTAAATCGGCTCAACTCATCTCCCTCGCCATCGACCATATCGTCAGCCTATGACAATATCCACAACCTCCTTTCTCAAGCCCACATCCTCGAAGATGCTACTGGCTCGCCTACGACTCTTGGCCGTTTGACCAGCCACGTCTTCGGTCTATCGAATCCACAAAGGGAACAGCGCATGGTGCAGCTCCTGTTTACTGAATTCCTCACCGTCCTTGAAGATTCCATTCAAGCAGAGCTACAACATAGCGTCACTCTATTTGCCCTCTTCGAAGCCGTTGATCATCACTTCCTCAACCTCGCTCGTACGGTTGTCCGCGAATCATCTGCACAGGAGGAACTTCACGCCGATATGCTCTCCAGCCTTTGGACACGACTCCTTGGTACAAGAGCTGCCGAACTACGCAAATTTGAGCAGAACCGTTTGTTATTACGTGATGTGCGTGAAAAGACGGTGCGCAACAAGGGTATTCTCGTTGATCACAACGGCAAACTCTTGACCTTGAAGGCGTCCCTCGAGACACTCCGCAGTAAACTTGTCTCGCCTCTCGTCCGCGGCGTCAACTCCACAACACTTACCCTTGAGGACCAGATCCAGGGTCTAAGCGACGTTAGTCATTACCTCGGCGATGTGAGGAAGCAACAGAAAGGCAAGGTTATGGAAACACTATTCGGCACTGTTCCGAGTAAGAAATATACAATTGCAGAAAGAGCCGATACTGTTGTCGTGAATCCCCTTTGAGATTTTGCTCAAGCGAAGAAAACATTCCACTTTGTTGGGTATCATCAGCCGGCATAGAATCATGACTGTTTTTTGCATTTCTTTTGTTTTAGGATATGGTTTTGTTTTTTCTGTACTAAGCAGGTGTTTGGTCACCGGCGTTCACTACGGCTGCACCAGCTTGCATTGATGTATGTACATCACGAATTACTCTTGGTTTTAGTTTAGAAATACCACACGAATACACTTCACACTAGATGAATTCTTGTTCGTTACCATTGCAACATTTCACAGATAGATAATGGACGAGTGAATACTTTAACATATCTTTCATTAAAAACCCTAACCGCATAAAACCTCTGCGTTGATCGTGCCTGCAAACGAGGACCATTGGTAGGGGGGTATAGGCCAACAGCCAGAGTGTCAGAAAACCGTCAACGCCGTCCTGGTGGGTTCTCTCGAAAGCGCCAACGCCGTTGCTGTGAGCAAGCGAAGGTTCGCAACAAGAGCCAGCCACCTTAATGTCCCCAAACTTTTGAATCTCCCTTCCTGAGAAGAAATAGCAACCAAGTCTATCTGTACATAATGCGCTCCCTCAGATGGGTAACACAAGGTCGTAAAGCATGTTTCGTTGCTGATTGTTCCGTAAATTGCCTTGTAAAGGCGTCGTCATTCCAGTTGAGGGGGTTGCCCAGTCAGATAACCATAATAGAAAAAAGGAAATGATAGTCGAGTCGGAGTAGGCTTAAGCCTTGGTCTCCTCCTCCTTCTTGGCCTCACCACTCTCGGGGCCCTGAGCCTTGACGTACTCGTCGTAGACAGCAAGGGCCTCGTCGACCTTGGCCTTGAGAGCGGAGTCGTCCTCAATACTATAACACATGTTAGTTGCTGATTGTAAAATGATTCAAAGCGGGGAAACTTACAGGTTGACAAGCTCGGTGTTGTCCATCTCCAGAAGCATACCGGTGATCTTGCCGGCAAGGTCGGAGTTGATGGCCTGGATCTTGGGGAAGATCAGTTCACCCAGAATCTGCTTCTGTTGGGGAGGAGGGGCGGCAGCAAGCTGTTGCTGGAGGACGGAGGCTCCGGCAGGTTCGGCACCACGGCCGCCTTGAGGCCCGTTGCCGTTGCGGCCAGGACCACCTCGGCCACCCTGGCGGTTGTTGTTAGGGGGGAAGCCGGGCATGTTACCAGCCATGGGAGGCATGCCAGGCATACCCTGAGGACCACCACGGCCGCCTTGAGGAGCGCCACGGCCACCGAGAGCAGCCTGCTGCTGAGCCATAGCAGCCATGAACTGAGGAGTGCCGGGCTGGCCGTATCCAGGAGGGAACTGGCCGGGCATACCGTACATGTTGGGGGGCATCTGCTGGGGAACACCACCGCGTCCACCCTGCTGAGGGTAGGGGAATTGTCCGGGACGACCCTGAGGCATTCCCATGGCACCCTGAGGGAAAGGAACACCACGGCCACCCTGGGGCATGAAACCGGGCTGCTGACCAGGAGCGAAGTAGACAGGGGGCTGCATGTACTGTTGAGGCATACCGGCGGCGGCGGCGGCCTGCTGCATACGGAGCTGGTTGCGAGCCTGGATACTAGCCTCAAGCTGGCTCTTGCGGACATCCTTACGCTGGGCCAGAGCGACGTACAGAGGCTTGCCGTTGAACATGCGCTGGTTCATCTCGGCGACAGCCTTGGTAGCATCATCGGGGTTGCCGAAGCAGACGAAACCGAAGCCCTTGCTCTTACCGAGCTTCTTGTCAGACTTCTTCTCAGCCTTCTTGTCCTCCTCACCCTCCTTGGTCTCATCCTTGGACTCTTCCTTGGACTCCTCCTTAACCTCCTCCTTGGCCTCTTCCTTAGCCTCCTCTTGGTTCTCCTTGTCGCTCTCGTCCTTCTTATCCTCGTCACCCTCAGTGGGTGTCTCACGCATCACCTTGGCGGATGTGATGGAACCAAAGTCCTTGAACATCTCACGGAGCTTATCATCGTCGACATCGTCGTCAAGGTTCTTGATGTACAGGTTAACACCCTGGTACTTGTTGGCCTTCTCCAGGCGAGCAGCTTCATAAGACTTGCGGAGCTCCTCCTCGCGCTCGTGCTTCTTCTGGGCTCGGCCAACATAGAGGTCCTGACCGTGGAAGTCATTGTTGTTGAGCTCATCAACAGCCTTGGAGGCACTCTCGTGGGTGGTGAAGTTGACGAAACCGAAACCACGGCTCTTACCCTCCTGGTCACGAGCCAGAGAGGAAGAGGTGACATCACCGTACTTCTCAAAGAGCTGGCGGAAATCATCCTCGGTAACGTCGGGAGCAATGTTCTTGACGTAGACGTTGGTAAAGTTGGCCTTCATCTCCTCGAACTTGCTCTGGCGGTCCTTCTTGGGAATGTGGTGACCGACGTATACCTTCTTCTCGTTGAGAAGCATACCGTTAACGTGCTTGATGGCTTGAGAGGCAGCCTCATCGGTCTCGTAGTGCACGAAACCATAGCCCTTGGAGGCACCAGTCTCGTCCTGGGCGACCTTGCAGCTCAGGATGTTACCGAAAGCAGCAAAGGTGTCGTGGAGAGCCTTGTTGTCGATGGCGACATCGAGGTTCTTGATGAAAACGTTGCCCTGGCCAGTCTTGCGAAGAGCGGGATCACGCTGGGACCACATGATACGGCAGGGACGGCCCTTGATGATGGTGTAGTTGAGCTCCTCGAGAGCCTTCTCGCCATCAGTAGTGGCGTTGTAGTTAACGTAGGCATAGCCGAGAGAACGACGGGTGACGGCATCACGACAGACACGGATAGAAGCAACAGCACCAATCTGGGAGAAAAGCTCGAAGAGCATAGCCTCGGTGACAGAGGGGTCAAGCTCGCCAACGTAGAGAGAAGCCGAGTTCTGGGGGTGAGGAGCAGCGGTGGTGGGGGTAGGAGCGGCAGCATCGTCAGTGGCAGCAGCGACACCAGTGTCGACGGCAGGGGCCTTGGCCTCACCTCCGTTGAGAGAGGTGTTGTTGAGGTCGTTGGCGAGCTGGTCAACAGCGCCGGGAGCAGCGTTGGCGGCCATTGTGAATATCGGTTTCTAGGTTTGTGTAAGAACCTGCAAAGAAGAGTTGTATCAGTAAACGGATCAAGAGGAAGTGCTTGTATATAAAGTAAAGAATAAAAGTGGGATTTTAGAGAAAAATTGAGACGAGAGAAAAAAGTTGGATAACATGAGGGGAGAGGCAAGAGGGTCGATCAAGCATACCTTTTTATGAAGCCGACAGCAGATCAAAGTTCGCGTGGTACTGGACCTTGAGCGAACAAAGAGAAGGAAGCAACGAACAAAGCGAAGCTACCAGGAGGATTTCAAAAGTCTTCGAGTATGGGAGGACTCAAAGACGATAATGAAAGAATTCGTGAGAGGAAGAAAAGTCACTCGGGCGGTGTCGCGAGAGAGACAAAGAGGAAAGGATGGGAGGGTCGTGAGATGAGGGGGTGGTGGGTTGTGTATTTTGGGGTTTTTTCAAGTTTTTTTTGTGTTTTTCTTTCCGAGTGGAAATGAAGTGAGCAGAAACAGAGAACTAGTACGAATACTGTTCCTCCGGACTGGCTCGACTTTATGGTTTTTTGGGTTGTTTGATAAGGTTGGTTTTGCGGTTGGGGAGGGAAGAAAGAGAAATTCACTACCTGTGATGGAAATTATTTTTTTTTTGCTTGGCCGCACTTCCTGGCAGAACCTAACAATGGGGAGGCTAATAAAGGTACGTACTAAAGTTTGGTATGGTCATGGTCATGGTGGAGGGGGAAGGATTGGTGGAGTGAACCTGCCACTTACTTGCCTTGGTACCTTCCGTCACTGTCGGTCGCACTCTGAACCAAAACTCGAGTAAGTGGGGTACTTGCCAGCTGGCTGTGATAAGCAAGCGGGTAGTGCAAATGTCCTTCACTAACAGATTTATGCTTGTGAACCACGTTTTGCTGCTAAGATGCGGGGGCACGTGCCCTATCCAGACCATCTCGGCAGTGGCTAAGGTACTTTGCGGCGGCGCCGTGTAAAAGATGGCAAACGTTGAAATTTTTGTCAATCTTTCTGAAAGAAGCTAGCAAATCCTACATAGAACACTAGTCTAGCTGATGGTTGTTCTAGAGGAAACTGGACAAACCGTGCGAGAAAACTGTTTATTTTTTGCCTTGTATGAATGGATTTGTAAAACGAGACTATGACGATTTTTCCTATATTGTGTCTCATATTCTACAATGGTACAGAGCAAAAACATCATCCGTCATGCTTTGACTAGGATGGTCAAAAAAGCAATATCAAGCACTACAAACCCAGTCACCTTTAAAGTCAAAATGCAATGCCACCATAATGCTTGAACTATCCATCTACACCGCCAAAGATGAACATATGTACATTATGTTGCCGCGCATGAACGCAACAAGTGGCCTTTTGGTTTGAGATAACACCTTGTATGCCTGGCGTGGTGTCAACAAAGTCACATGAAACGCTTGCTACGTGGTACGAGACGACTTCATTGGGAAAACGGTTGATATGACTTACCCCCTAATCAAGTCATTTTGATGCTTACAAGTCACAGTGAGAAATAGCTTCTGACGTGTCCTAAGCATATAATGTCGGGTGGTTTTTTAACTCTAAACAGAAGCCGGAACCTTCTCAATATACTCAAAGTTATGGAGTGTAAAGTTGATCTGTCCACACAGAATACTCAATTTATCATCACAGTAAGGTTCCTTCCAAAGAGACTAAGTCTCCCAGCAAGTGGCTATTTTCAAATATTGCGACTAATTGTCTGGTAACGATATATCTATCGATTGAAGTACTGGCACTTGTAGACTACAGCCCAAAACACCTGAAAAGGGTAAAGAATGTAAGCCATGTTCGTATTCATAGGTGTTCTACTTTGGAAAGCCATAGATTTTAAGAGACTGCAATGGACAGCATACGTGTTGTTAATCCTCATCACAGGTTTCAGAGCCGTGTTTTTATATCAACTCACAACGCGCATTCACTAATAGAGAATTAAGAACATAAATATAGAAGCAATTCCGGAAATCCTCAGACTCCTGGCGCATTGTCGTATTTTGCAGTGATCTTCAACCCGCATTTGCGTGTTGCGCAAATGCCCGCTTCTGCTCAAGGCTCAAGCTGACCCGCTCTTATCTTATCATCATCCCAGCTCGACAGTGACGTTCACCTCTCCCTACATCCCCACCATTACATATATCTCCAAACTCCGAACGCGGCACCAACAAAATAGAATCTAGAACAGGCCCGTTCGTCGCTGACTGAGCTTCAGACTGAATCTTCTAGAAGCTGAAGAAGTCACACAACAATCTCGACAATACACGGTCTGCACCGTCATGACCTTATCACGCCATTAAATCCCCGCGTTATTGTTCGACTTTAATTCCAATCTCCCACCTCCGTCGCTCCCGCACACCGCAGCGATGTTCTCGACATTTACGGGCAACTCGCGGCGCCCTCGAAACGTCAACCTCAGTGGTTCTACCGGGAATCCTTTTGCCAACACCTCATGGTCACCGTCTGCCGTTTCGAACGCTACAAAAACCGTGTCGAATGCCCAAGCCGAGCGTGAAAAGCGACAAATTGAGCGAACGAAACTAAAGGCTGCTGGGAAGATACAACGAACATGGAGGGGCTATAAAACAAGAGAAGTATTAAGGGAATCTCAGAGGCATTCCTTTGATGCTCTATACAAGCCTGGATCCAGCCAAACACCATCCGAAAGGCTTCCTGAAGCATTTCCCTTGCTTCTGTCCTTCTTCGCCTTGCGACGAGATGACGACATTCAAAGAGCTATCTGTTATGCGCACGATACCGAGTCTGTAGATCTCCGTCAAATCGTACCGCCGAACGTTCACCCTTCACGAATAGGACAACTTATTCGATTGCTTCTATCTGCAGTAGACAAGTCGGTTTCAGCAAGGTACACAAAATACTGTTTGAGAAGTTTGTATCTGGCTATTGTCTAACTGGATTATACAGAAATCTTTCCGATGAGACACACCTCATTTTCAAGCTTGTTGTCCGCCTTGTGAAAAGTTATCCCAACTTGGGTCTCCTTGTGATCGACAGTTACTACAAGGTGGTTGGTAAAGTGTGTCAAGCTCGAAGTCTTGGTGGGCAATGGCGAAACATTGTGCTCCAAGCAATCACTAACCCCTTCGAGGTTGCTTCTTCAGAAGGTCAGTCTTAAATTCAGTGTTCTGGAATTCTGCTAACACTTATCTAGTGATTGCACAAGTGTATCATGCCTTTGCGTTCTCGTTCTTGATCACAGATAACATATGTTATTTCGAAGAGAACATTTCAGATGTGTCCCATACAATTCGCTTCTCTCATCTGGCGAGGGCGATAGTGGCCGGTTTATCACCAACCGAGAGCCCCCGATATTCCCAAGATGGTCAACTCTGGCAGCTTGCTCATTTCATTGATCTGGCTCGCTTCAGCACTGATTCTAGCCCCGACACAGGGATCTTAGAGACACTTTATACTCAACTCTCAACCCTCTCTTCTTCTATCAGCACTCGGCTGTCGGTTTCGATTAAGACAAATGAGGACGACGAGAATGATTCTGAAGAGCCACTCGCACCACCACTTGATCCATATGTTACTTCTCAATTAATGTCTCTAGTGGACAGCAAAGGCATCATACAGACCTTACACGACTTCTCCGTCAATCTTGCGAGATCTTCACGACAAGAGTACCAGAGCACAAGCTTTCTTGCAGGATACATCTTAACCCTACTTCGATGCTTTCCTTCGAAAGGTGACGATATCCGAATGCGCCTCTTCCTCGAAGAAATCCCTACATTAACGGGCGATGTCCCAACCATCAAGTTTCTCTGGCAAATGATGGTAAAGACAACTGTCTTTAACAAGTTGAGGACAGAGTCGGAGCAGCCTCTCGATGTCTTACGCAGATATCTTGGTGCTACGGCTAGAAATGCGGATTCTTCTGAAGAGGAGCAAGACTGGCGAATCATCCTTTTGTTCCTTGAACTATACATCTTCATCCTTCGTTTGAGCGATGACGAGGACTTCTTTTATGGCATTTACCCACCAGTCATACAGCAAGCCCCGTCCACTTCCCGCATTCGATCATGCAGTCTCTCACTGGAACATGTTGAGATGCTAACATGCTTTCTCAAGAACACTGCTTTTACTCTCCATTACAATACGCACGAACTTACCAAGTCACTTAATGATCTGGAGGCAGCTTCCCAACAACGCATGGATACTTATTTCAGTACTAGAGGACCATCCTCGACGAACCAAGGGCATGACGCACGATTACACCAAAGTCCGACAAGTTTGGATATTGACAGCTTGCGGAACATTGTGACATCAGCAATGAAAATGCTGTACGAGCGAGACTCACGGAAACAGTTCTTGCCTACAAATCACTGGCTCATGACATCAAAGCTTGATCAGGGAGACTTCATCGCCGCCGTTATTGCAGAAGAACAGCGGCAGATCGAGGAGGATTCGGATGATAGTGATGACGATATGGAAAACGAATATGCCAGTGTTCCAGGGTTCTATTCGACCATAGCTGGTCAGCGACTGTCACGACATGCAAGACTTGAGCGATTGAAGTCTCAGCAGGTACGAAGCCAAAAAGAGCGCCGTCTAGCAGAGATGGGGCCAAAGCTGGAGATATTGAAACACATGCCCTATGCTGTCCCCTTCGAAACCCGTGTCATGATCTTCCGCCAGTTCATCAATCTCGATCGATCTCAGAGAGAGGGCAACAGCCTGACGTCCTTTAGCAGTCCTTTCGCCAAACACCATGCGCAAATCTCGCGGAAGCAACTCTTTGAAGATGCATACAAGCAATTCTACGAGATAGGGGAGGGTCTCAAGGACCCGATTCAAATCACATTTGTCGATCAATTCGGTGCTCAAGAGGCTGGAATTGATGGCGGCGGTGTTACGAAGGAGTTCCTCATCAGCGTTACGACGGAAGCGTTTGGCTCTGACCATGGTAAGGGCATGTTTACATCAAACGAAAAGGGACTGCTCTTCCCTGATCCTATAGCGCTTGATGTTGTTCGTGAAAAACTCAAGATGAGCGGGTATTCGGAAACTGACAAGGAGTACCGAGATTGCATTGGAAATATACTCAAGCGCATGGAATTCCTTGGTAGAATTGTGGGCAAATGCATGTACGAAGGTATCCTCGTCGACCTGGCATTTGCTGGCTTCTTCCTCCTCAAATGGGCGTCAACGGGTCCCAACGACGAGAAGAACTACAAAGGCAGCGTCAACGATCTTCGCGACATGGATGAGGAGCTCTACAATGGAATGCTGCGACTCAAGAATTATTCGGGAGACGTTTCAGAACTAGGCATTGACTTTACGATTGCAGACCAGATCTCACCACCAGGCGACCCAGTCAAGACCGTTACCAAGAAGCTCATTGCCAATGGCGATCAAACCTACGTTACGAATGACAACCGACTACTGTACATCTCGTATGTTGCTCGCCATCGCTTAATCGTTCAGCCATCTCTACAGACCACGGCCTTTTTACACGGCCTGCGCTCCATCATCCGACCCAACTGGCTGTCCATGTTCAACCAGTCAGAGCTACAGCGTCTGGTGGGTGGTGACTCGTCTGAGATTGACATTGAAGATCTCCGTAAGCACACAATTTATTCGGGTTTATATGAGGTAGGTGATGATGGAGAAGAGCACGACACTATCAAGATATTCTGGAAGGTTATGCGCAGCTTCACAGATGCTCAGCGTCGGGATGTGCTCAAGTATGTCAGTTCTACACCGCGAGCGCCTTTGCTGGGTTTCTCGCAATTGAGGCCAAAGTTCAGCATTCGTGATGGAGGTTCAGATGAGGAGAGGCTTCCGAGCACGAGCACGTGTGTCAATCTGCTCAAGCTGCCGAAATACACTTCGGAGGCGACGCTTCGGGAGAAGTTGCTCTACGCCGTACAGTCGGGGGCAGGTTTCGATTTGAGTTGAGAATTCATGGATGACTTTGTTGTTTTTATGAAATATGGTATAGGGAGCAGGACTTTGCATGCATAGGCGTCGGACATGGCAGTTTGGAACACAGCATTGATGTTGTCGGCGTATAAGCCGTACACCGACATATGATAGGTTAGGCATATAGTAAACGTATCATGATAACCAAGCACTTTTTATTCAATATTTATTCTTGGTGGTGATTAGCATGTATACTGGGTAACAGAAATGTCGACCTCAAGGTTGTAGGATATAAAAATAAACAGCTTGGCAAGTCTGATCTAAAAATCATGAACTAACCTAATAATTTCGTCTCCTATGCTTCCAGCGGTCTTTTTATATTATTTTTTTCTGACGCCTTCAGGGCAACCAAGTTTCGCAGTACTCCAATATACTCGTATTCATTCAAACATTTCCGACGTCCTGGTAGCTCCTGGCTATCAACGTTGGTTTTCTTCTATACAAGTCCAGGATCATTTGTCCAAACAAGCCATTCGCCCATGAGAACCTAATTTATCATCAGCACCAATCTCACTCATAGTCTGAGTGAACACAACTTACCATGATCTTGTCCAGTGCTTCTCATTGAAGCTATTAACTGTCTCGTGTATGAGACCAAGTCCGCTCGTTGAGCTCATCAACTGACGAATACTATCCACAATCTCCTCGTCGTCATCGCTCGTCAGGAGCTGAACGATGAGCCCCATGGGCCACGCCATACCAGGGCCGAGATGCGGTCCACCTGTGGCGTTGAGGACTGGCCCTCGTGCGTAGTATGGGTTAGATGGACTGAGGACAAAGGCACGGGTGTTATCGTAGACGTGTTGCGAAGCTGGCTTGTAACCCATGTGCGGAATACTGAGCAAAGAAGGCAGATTCGCGTCGTCCATGAGACTGTGTGATCCAAATCCGTCAATCTCGTAGGCGTACATCTCTCCATATACGGGGTGCTGGATGATAGCATGCTGATTGATGCCATATTCAATACCGCTCGCCATTGCCTCCATTTTCTTGGCCAATTCCTCATCCAGAGGTCGCATTATCTTGGCGCATGAGGTGAGATACCTCGAAAACATCATGTTTGCGGGTATAAAGTACTGATAGATGCAGGCATCGTCAGATGGTCGGAAGAAGCTGCGCACAAGGCCAATGTGACCTTTCACAGGCGCTCCATGGCCATGGTTGGAGACTGTTTCTGAAGCACTGTCCGCATTTCGCAACCATGTGTATGCTGGCTTCTGCACCATGCCTTGCTCGTCATATGTTCCCTCCTGCATGCGCTCGGCGACTTTTAGGATCTTCCTAACGGCCTCGACCCAACCAAATTTTCCAAAGAATTCACCGTCTTCCGCTTCTTCGTAGTAGTCCCATGATAACTGGAGAAAGGCGGCGAGGGAGTCGAGCTCGTACTTGCACTCGAAGACGAATTCGGGGTCGTATTTCGGGCTCACGGTATCTCGAGGTTGAACGGATCGCTTTGTGCGAGGTAGCTTGGCTTCGGGCGGAGGGTGAAAGGCGTTGCAGAAAGGCGACTTTGTGAGGTATCGAGCTTGAAGGTTGATTGCGCCGCGGAAAAGAGAGGCGATATCGTCGGAGGACAGAACAGATTTATATGACTGCAACTGATTTGAGCTATCGCGGATCCATTGCGCATTTATGTCACCTGTGGTGATAAATGCTAACTGAAGTGTGTATGTCAGTCAATGGTACGATGTCAACTTCATGATGGTATCGCCAAACCTCTTCATCAGCGTTATCCGCCGAGACACCCCTCCACTTCACGGTTGTATCCAAAGTGTTAGGCCATGTATTCAAAAATAAACGATAAAGATCTGGATCACCAATAGCTTGATCCATTTCCTCGTAAATCACATGCTCAACCGCTGGTACCGAATATGTGCGACAGTCTTTGCTGGGGCGCTGAAGTGGGAACTCATAGCGCCCAGATGAGAGCGGTTCGTGCCGCTCGCGGGCGAATTGCTCGTAATTGGGACAGTTAGCAGATACAGCTGCTACGCCTAATAAGAATGAAACAAGACGGTACATTTTGGTTATGTTTCCGTCATTTGACGTTGTTCAGCGTGGAAGAAGAAACATGTTGGTCGGTTGTTTTGTATGGACTGAAACGAGCACCTCAGCTACCTGCCTCACTTTTAGGGGGAGAATTCAGGGTCTGGACTAGAGTGTTGGTGGAGATCAATGGTTAATCCTTGACCCCTGACTAGGACCAAGATGGGTTGAAGCTGGGGAAGTGGTGCAGATGAATGGATGGTTCCTAGATCGACTTCCAGGCTAAAATCCATGCTTAAGAGGACTGTATTTTTTCTATCATTTCATAGGTAATCTTTGTTACACTACAGGTGTAATTGAATAGTCTCATATATCTCGGGATGTATCTAGAGTGATTCACATACCCCATCATTTCCTTCTTCCTAATCAGACTCATGAAAAGATACCGTCACCACTACCGTGATGAGTTCGTGACAAAGTGCATCATTAGCTCTGTGATGCACAGTTTGTTTGCTTCTCTCTCGCCTGTAGTTGTATCTGTGTATCTAGAAACATAAATACAATGCTCGTTCAGCCTGGACAACAATGGTCTCGTCACCAGCTGAAACAAGAACCCGTGTAAAATCAGACATCTCACTTAGTCTTGTTTCATACAAACATCATGTATGCGTTCAGTGATTTTCTCCCTCCCAACTATCTCATAAGAGAAGATTGCCTCAGGCTAGTAAGTGATAACTACGGTCTGTTCTTCGAGGTTATGTCTTTCATAGAGGTGAAACCAATACCTACAGCCATCTTGACCGATCCGCAGGGTACTGTTGTCCTTTGGACCCAGAACACTTTCCCATGGACGGAATGGGTTGATATGGCTCACTTTGGTGTTCGTCGCACACTGACTGAGCTGGCGGATAGCGGTGCGTTCTGTGACGACTACCAAATGATTAGATATTGGTTCATGAGACCATTGGTGTAAGTTGGTAAATCAAGTAGGACAGGTTGCCGGTGGCCTGGAGAAGGATCCGGTGTCTATATTGATAGTCAATGCTCCTTCAGATATGGTCTATTATTTAGTGTGACCATTGATCAGTACTTTCTTTTAGGTTGCAGCGATCTGCCTTTTTAGGATTTGGCGTTTGTAAAATGGACGTAGAATAATAACACAACTTTCTCGTCACTCAGACATTGTGCAAAGGAAATAATGTCACTTATAACATTAGAAAATACCAACTCATTTAATAGCATTTGAACTACGTAGTTACGAGTTATTACGCCGTCTAGTTGACAAAACTATTCTTCATGTATAGGGTAATCAATGTGTGAAGAATCATCAGTGATGCACAGCGAAATAAGCCACTATACCGAAGGAATCCGCTTATACCCCAAGGCCCGATACCGCGGCAAAAGAGTACATTAAGCCGAATCAAAGCATCGGGAACAAGCATCAAGATACCGGACGCTTGGGGCATTGAATTGACGTAATTGATCATGGACCCTTGCAAGATAGACATTTATGAGAGTCAATCAATAGCCATAATCAATTGAGTCCAGTAAGTCACTGTGACGATGATGTTGAACATATCGATTCGATAAATATAACAAAATCACCCTGCAGAATAGAAAGCGCATGTGACCTATGATGACATTAGTCTGGACTTGCACATGCTGACATCGGCCACGGCTACCCCAGGTTATCTGAGAACCAAATGCGATGCTGATCAGCCGAGTTTAAGACATTGTGACTATGGATTGTGGCCTCGGTTATATAGAGCCGATTGCCGGTGACAGCCTCGAGTTGTTCTAGAGAAGCTGGATGATTTACGAGCAGATACGCTGTAACAAAGCATGATATTCCTAGTATATAAAATTAATGATCTCAATCTATAGCTGGAATTTTAATTGAAAGGACCTAGGTATAGACCCGAGGATAATATGAAAGTGAAGCCGGAGAACGAAGCCCCAGGATCTATAACGACACCCACTAAAGAACCAATAAGTGACGAGATAATTGTCAAAAAAACGGCATTGCACACCCCCACTACCTTGCCAGACTAACTAGACCATCGCACCAGGAAAGAAAGAAAGTCATCGGCGGAAAGTTGCTTTAGTTGCCGCTGGCCCCAGGACATTTCTCTCCTACCTTGAGCTCTCTTTTTTCTCTCTCTTACTTCTTTCTTCTAGCCATATCCTTTCTGGTGGCTGAACAACTCAATTAATCCTCTCGTCATCATGCCCGCCCCACGACCAGTTTCGCGATGTGTCCAGCGCAGCTCGCAAGTGCTTTCTCGAACTCAGTTGCGTCCCGCCAGATCAACCTTCTCCCCCGCCACAATCACTGCCAGATCCTCTCTCCCAAGGAGGACGAGTACGGCACTATGGTCAGCTGCAAAAGTGCCATTGGCCTGTCGCGCCTTCAGCACCACTTCGAGACTTCGAGACGACGACACAGATTTTGACCCCGCCACCGTCGAACGCGAGTCTGATGAGGTTGATGTCTGCATTGTAGGAGGCGGTCCTGCTGGTCTCAGTGCTGCTATTCGTCTTAAGCAGCTCGCCAATGAGGCTGGTAACGAAGACTTCCGTGTGCTTGTCCTGGAAAAGGCTGGCGATCTCGGTGCTCATATCCTCTCTGGAGCTGTTATCCAGCCTAGTGCCATCAATGAATTGTTCCCCGACTGGCTCGACGAGAACAACCCCAACCGATTCGAACACGCCACTCCCGCCGGCACCGATCGTATGCGATTACTTACTAAGAACTCTGCTATTCCTATTCCCGCGCCTCCTCAGATGGCCAACCACGGAAACTATATTGTTAGCTTGAACCAATTCGTCAAGTGGCTCGGCGAGCGTGCTGAAGAGATCGGTGTTGAGGTTTACCCTGGATTTGCTGCTTCCGAGGTTGTTTACAATGCAGATGGCTCTGTCAAGGGTGTCGCCACCAACGATCTTGGTGTTGGTCGTGATGGCAAGCCCAAGGAAACATTCGAGCGAGGCATGGAGTTCCACGCACGAGTCACCATGTTTGGCGAGGGTTGCCACGGAAGTTTGAGTAAGCAGGTTATCAACAAGTTCGATTTGCGAAGGGATAGCCAGCACCAGACTTACGGTCTTGGTGTTAAGGAGGTTTGGGAGATTGACCCTGCCAAGTTTGAAAAGGGTCTGGTTGTGCACTCAGTGGGTTATCCATTGCCCAAGGACGTGTACGGCGGTTCGTTCATGTACCACTTTGGTGAAAACCTTGTTCAGATCGGTCTCGTTACCTCTCTTGACTACTCAAACCCTTGGATGTCGCCATACCAAGAGTTCCAGAAGCTCAAGAAACACCCTCTTTTCCGCGATGTTCTTGAGGGCGGGAAGTGCATCTCATACGGTGCCCGTGCTCTAATCGAGGGTGGTTTCCAGTCCATCCCCAAGGTGGCTTTCCCTGGTGGTGCGCTCATTGGTGACTCTGCTGGTTTCGTCAATGTTCCCAAGGTCAAGGGCACACACAATGCCATGAAGTCAGGTATGCTGGCCGCCGAGGCAGCATGGACTGCTCTTAGCGAGAAGACCGACGAAGGTACAGTATTCCTATACGACTACGAGAACAAGCTTCGGGACTCTTCCATCTGGAAGGAGCTTCACGAGGTCCGAAACATGCGACCATCTTTCCATACCCCGCTCGGCCTTTATGGCGGTCTCATGTACTCCGGTCTTGAAGCCTATGTCTTCAAGGGCCGAGTTCCTTGGACACTTAAGCACAAGACCCCTGACCACGAGGCTATTCTTCCCGCCGACAAGGTTCCCAAGATCGAGTATGAGAAGCCTGACGGCAAGCTCACCTTTGATATATTGACAAGCGTCTCCCGTACTGGAACCAACCATGAGGAGGACCAACCCGTTCACCTTCAAGTTAAGGATTGGGATGCCCACACTGAGTCAACATACCCTCCCTACAAGGGTATGGAGAACCGCTTCTGCCCAGCTGGTGTTTACGAGTATGTTGAGGATGAGTCAAAGCCCCATGGCGTTCGATTCCAAATCAACGCACAAAAGTAAGTCCATTTAGACTCATACTTCGATTTCGAGTTGAAAGTTTGATAACTAACACTGCGATAGCTGTATTCACTGCAAGACATGTGATATCAAGGCGCCTCACCAAGACATCAACTGGCAAGTGCCACAGGGAGGCGAGGGCCCCAAGTACTACATGACCTAAGAAAAGCAAACACATGTTCTATCAAGAACTCTCTTTTTTATTGTTTATTATGTATGATACCTGATTTATATACCTGGATGCATACTCGGCGTGTTGGGGAAAGCATATTTGGCGAAAGGCCACATGCAAAAGATGGAAAGGATTTGTCATTGGGAGCACATTGGAGTAGAGGTCAAGCTGCCAACAAATATTACATTGATATCACACGTCTTAGACCTTCCAGCTCGGAAGCCAACCAAAAATGTGATAGGCAACGGAGATTTACCTCTTTTAGCCGGCAGCACGCGTAACACCGACTCTTGAGCCGCATGAACGTGATGAGTCTTGGCCTTCCTTATCAGTAGGCAAGCCAACGGTCAAGCCAAAATCTAGAACCTCCGATCTGTGGAGAGCACTTGGTCTTTGCGGTTTCCGCGGGTATGAAATAGGTTGATAACAAACTTATCTGGCTCACTCAACAATACTGCAGACATAGTTTGGCTTAAACATCGAGTCAAAGGCGAACCTAGGTGATCAGAAAGGTAAAGACGAAAGATTAATGATGTTGATATAGCAACCAGAAAGTAAATACTTAAAATACTCTCGGGCACAAATTTATTTCCTTTTACATATAAAGATGAAAAGCATAATCCTCAATAAAAGGCCATTCATGAGTCAAGTATTGCAACAGAGTCAGTGACAATACAGCCAGATTGCCATGAGGCTTGCAACACATGATAGATCCTAGTAGAAGCCTAGAGAATCACAAATGAGGCTGGCAGGTTGGTTAGGACCTTTTGAATAGAATGCTTTTGAGCACAGCAAAAGTGGAGTCAGCATCCAGGCCAAGTCTTGAACCAGATTAGGAGAGCGTTGCGAAACAAGGAAATTGTTAGTGAGGTACTTCTCGAAGCAGCCCCCAGCTCTTGGGCGCCTGCTCGTAAAAGGTAACAGTACTCGGCGATCCTTGACAATCAAAATTTTCGTGTCACCATTTGAATTCAAATTGCCCGCAGCATCCTAGAACGTGTCCTTAATGCAGACTGGGGTTTTCACGAACCATAAACTCAACGTTCATAGTCCTGGAAATTTGAGTCCACAAACAGTCGTCACCATATAAAAGTTTGAATATCAAACCAAGAATTCAAACAGAAAGCTACGCATGATGATGGGGAATGAATCAAGATCAACATCTGAACCATCATGACGACTGCAAATTTTAAGGCACCTGCCAGAAGGTCCATGTACTGAGTACATGATGTAAAAAGCCAGCTAGTTGACGCACAGAGCCAGCCTCCCTAGCACTGCGAGGGGAGCAGATTGGGGTGTGGACTGATTCATGGTTGGCCAGAGTGGAATGACTCACTAAGTCAGCGGGCGGCTGGGGCTACAAAGAGAAAGGGCACACCAAGGACGAGAAAAATGGAAAAACCCACAGCTTACCTTACCTGCTGGTTGCCGCCGTCTGGGCGAAAAATCTGCTTTGCGGTGTGTCCGGAAACCAGGCTTTGTGCGTCTGTAGAGCAAATTGGATTATGCCGATAGTGGTTTTCTGCAGAAGCTTCTGATCATGGCATAATGTTTCTGAAAAAGATGAGACGCTTGCGAGACAACCATCGCTATCAGCAACATCAGCAACATTCGACCACACAGGCCTCTGAGGCTGCTAGGGTGACGACGCGTCGCGATGGAGGGCGCGTGGGCTGAGGAAATTATCAGTGAAGGGGGCAGAGCGTGTTTCAGGGTCCCGTCATGTCGTTGGTGGTTGGCAAGAGTTGGTGGTTAGGTTGGGATAAGAGTCCCACGGGGGCGAGAAGAGGGTTTGACAGGGCCGAGCATGGCTGGAACTTGAAGGTAGTGGGTGTCCGCTCCGACACTGACGGGGGTACGTGGTTGTGATTGGATCAACGGGTGTGATCTTGGTTGCGCTAGCGAACGAGTGCAATCAGACTGAAGGTGAGGAGTCGCATCTGAAATGAGTGAGTGAAAAAGCCGAAAGGTAACCAACCACGCCGCGTCGGACTAGCCCCCCCCCGGTCCATAATTTCAACCCGTATCCGAGGTCCACAGGCATCTGAGGGCTCCATGGATAGGCGCTGTGACGCTTTTATCGCCTCCGGATTGCGTGCTGCTGTCGTCGCAAATCCCGGCTTGAGTCAAGCCAGTCCAGGTCAAGTCAGGCTCTGCTCGACGCTGGGCCTCGGTGCCCGCCTTTCCCACCTAAAGTGGTCGTTCCCGTCAGTGTTGGGCTTCGTTTTCGTCCGTGGTGATTCGCTCGGTGCTGGTTCTTGCCGGTCGCTTTTACTGTTCTGATGGGTTTTTATCTGATCTCGGCCGTGCAGTTGTCCTCATGTGGTGCGTTGTCGCTTGCCAAATCGATCATCATGCTCGAATGTCGGTGGCTGCTTCTTCAACCTGCAGATTGATGTGAGGTTTGTGGGTTGTTTGAGAGGAAGAGGAGGTGAGAGGCAAGGTGAGGTGACGGAGGGACAGAAAAGAAAGTCCAGGGGGAAGATGACGACAGGAAAAGAAACGAGAGGAGGCAGGCAGGTGGGCTGACCGCGCCAGACATCCTCGGTCGCGCTAGGGGCTACAGGAGGCATGCGTCCTCTGATTAATCAGGACAGAAACAAAAAAAAAAAACAAGACAAGACAAAGAAAGAACTGGTAAGCATGATCCAATACTTTCTCTGTACTCTTTTCTACTTTTCTTTCTTTTCCTGTTTACATCGACAGTCAGGTTTCTGGTGACGGACACATGCCGAATGGGCTATCACGCTTGGGCACGAACGATTCCTTCCTCATGATCTTGTTTCTCAGTGAGAACAGGACATTACAGGCTGAGAGTGAGCCGCGGCCAATGTCGGGCAGCAGGGCACATTGCCTACCTACTTGTTTGTAGTGGCGATCTGGAAGAGATTTGTTTTCCCCCCCCCAGTGCAGGGCTACTCAGTGCGTTGCAGGTGCTAGACCATACACTGAAGAAGGTAACCCAAATCCGAGGTTCGTGTGGAAAAGTCACTTGTACATAGACTTTGAGTATGTTATAGCGATACTTCAGGGGTTTAAGCCTTGGACTGGGGTGCGTGTGTGGGAAAAAAGGAGATAAAGCCAGCGTCGCAAGAGTGTTTGATTGGACCGACAGAGTTTAGTGCACAAACTAGCGCACGCCAAGCCTGCCAGCGTCGCCGCCACAGGTTGTGTTGTTGCCTGGGGTGTCCTGCCTGAGCAGCCTTTGCCCAAAATTATAAGTAGCCAGCCCTCCCCTCGCCCGCCTGTTTCGAAAGACCTGCGTGGAAGTTCCGATTGACGGCCCTACGTACCAACCACTTACGTCCGGCCACTCTTTTTATTCTTGCTCCCCCCACGACGTCACACCCCACATCACACCTCCATTACCTAACCAACCTTCCTCATCTTGACAATATTCACAACCTCACATCTCTTTGGGATAAAAGGTTATTGTCACTTCTCTTTGTCTCCACGTCACGATCTTGCTCTACTGCAAACGTGATCCCACTCTCTAGCACAGCAAGAAAAGAACTTGGTGCAGACACCCTAATCAACCAGGTCACAAGAAAGAACTGAAACACGTTCCTTTCCCTCTTCGCTCCTCGCGCGCAATCGATATCAACGACGACCGGAACGAAGCGATCCCCGCCGACAGCCGTCATCGTCACATCAGATTCGTTGCGCTGTTGTAGACAACAATAAAAGAAAAGAAAGAAAGAAAAAAAAACAAGCTGCTGTGAAGTGAAAGAAGCTCGTGGTCTTCCAATACCTAATTCTTTGGCCGATATCTTGAGTATCGCCTACCAAAAAAAAAATCGACCGCCTTTATTTCGTTTTTATACCGTTCTGCATCGAATCTATTCATTCGACGCTTTCCGGAACAATCTATTCAATTGCTGGGTCAGTTTCTTTGTAGGGGACACATTCACTTGTTTCTCTCCCACTATTGGTATGTGCCCCATGAATCACCGCACTGCCCCACTCCGCCTATAAAAGGCCAGCTTCTTCTCCCTTTTCTTAACTTCCCTTCTACATCATATCAACGGCGCTGCATTTTCTGTATCCCGTTACATCATCCACATAGCGATCGCATCTCCCTCATAGGGTAGGATGCATGTTTTTTATTATTATTCAATACGCGATGCTAACCTCAGTCTGCTCATAGATCTGTTCAGCGATTGTTCATAACCGTTGACACTTCTCGATACCGACTCCAATCATGGAAGGCATCCAGACTCACCCGTCCAACGCGGCGCAAGCCAAGGCCTTTACTGCGCCTGGATCGCTGTCGTTCCCCGGAGCCACGAACGAGCTCACACCGCCGCCTGTCGGCAACAGCGATGCTCAGCAACCTGCTCCTAATGGTCAGCAGGCGGCAAATGGCAACGGGGTGGCACCCGCAACGCCTGTCGCGACGCCTGCTGCTACTCAAGGACCCAGTGGAATCACTCCCACTCTACAGTATGTATCCTCCTGAGTGACCTTTTTATGCTCAGTGAGGCTTATCTCGCAAATTTAAAGGAACATCGTGGCTACAGTGAACCTTGACTGCCGCTTGGACCTCAAGACCATCGCTCTGCACGCGCGTAACGCAGAGTACAACCCCAAGGTACATCAGACTATATGAGTACACTGAGTATAAACATGTTGCTAACATACCAAGCGTTTCGCTGCCGTCATCATGCGAATTCGTGAGCCCAAGACGACCGCCCTGATCTTCGCTTCCGGCAAGATGGTTGTCACCGGTGCCAAGTCTGAGGATGACTCGAAGCTCGCTTCCAGAAAGTACGCCCGTATCATTCAGAAGCTTGGTTTTAACGCCAAGTTCACCGACTTCAAGATTCAGAACATTGTTGGCTCTTGCGATATCAAGTTCCCTATCCGACTGGAGGGTCTGGCATCTCGCCATCACAATTTCAGTTCCTACGAACCTGAGCTGTTCCCTGGTCTTATCTACCGCATGATCAAACCTAAGATCGTGCTACTCATCTTCGTCAGTGGAAAGATCGTTTTGACAGGTGCCAAAGTCCGCGAGGAAATCTACCAGGCCTTCGAGATGATCTATCCTGTGTTGCAAGGTTTGTTCACTCTTGTCATTCTATTTGAGTACGTCATGCTAACTGTTCTCAAGATTTCCGAAAGGTCTAAGGTGTCACTATGTCATCTCTTACCCAACACATCACACCACCACTATCTTATCGACGTGTATGATTAGACAAACCGTCACGATACCACGATTGCTTTTCAATTCACTGGTTTCCACCTGGTCTTGACGCCCAGGATGGAAGCCAGGAACTTGCGTTTGTACCATTTTGAATCTTTTCTGCATTGCATTGGCGTTGGGAGGGCGGTTAGGCGGGGGATTTTCACGAGGGATTTCGGTTCAGGGGGAAAAAGATAAGATACTCATCCCGCAACACATCTCATAGATTGCTCGCGCCGGTACTGCGGCGCATGCGCTCAGTTGATTTGAGCGCCTTAATATTTCAGGGATTCGTTGAGTTGAGAGGGGCTGATGAAACAAAGACGAGGAAGGTTGTTGACATGAGCCCTTTGGATGGTTCCATGAAAGAAACACAAGTTCGGTGACGGGCTTGTGAGTGAGCGCAATGGAGAGCAAGCCTCTGGCGACTGTGGCAAGGCGACAAGCATATGGTGTTCGTTACCATAATGACTTGAACTAACACCTGCGAGAAATGCCTCCAGGTGAATAGTTTTTCACAGTAGTGAGATAGAAATAAAGTTCAAGTTCTCTCCCAAAGCTGTCGCCTTTTTGACGTTTTTGCAGTTCTTGAAATGTGCATGCTTGTGCGATAACGATAAGAACGCGGTTGTTCTCACCGCACAGAGACCCACTCGCGTGCCCTCCAATAATGGCATCACTCAAGGTCAACCAGGAGACTAACCCCGATCGTCGGCAACCCCAACGCTAATCAGCCCATTCTTTAGTTATGTTTAGTCTTTTTGACGACGCCTCCCCGGCCAGCCAGCGCCGGGATCGGTGTGGGAACGGGGGAAAAGTCTTTCGAATTCATCGGCTCATCTAGACTTGCTTTTGTTGATAGTCTCGTAGATAAGTGACTGTTCTCTTGCAGGCGCTTGTGTTCTTCTTTCCATCTTGCAACTCATTTCTCATCTGTCTGTCGCAATGGCAGCCGCTCCCTCCTCCATCCTCATCGTCGGCTCTGGCGTATTCGGCCTCGGTACTGCCTGGGCTTTGACCAAGCGACCTCATTACTCCAACACCAAGATCACCATCGTCGAAGAATGCGCTGGCCAGTTCCCTCCTGAGGATGGTGCCAGTGTAGACTCGTCCCGAATCGTGCGAGCCGATTACTCAGATCCACACTACGCTGCCCTCGCCGCTGAGGCGCAAAAGGAATGGCGAAAGCAGGGTGACGAAGATGTCGGCGGTCAAGGACGGTACTCCGAGTCCGGCTTTGTCCTTTGCGCAAGCGAAACGCCCAAGGACTTTAAGATGAAGAAGTCTGGCATGGACTATACCAAGGAGAGCGCAAAGAACGTCGAATTGATCGCTGCGCAGACCGGCCTGCCCATGGACAAAATCCAGAGGCTTGAGAGCACCAAAGCACTACAAGAGTTCCTCGGTACGGACGGATATCCTGGCGACTGGGGCTACCTGAACGGTAACTCTGGTTGGGCTGATGCTGGAGAGGGTATGAAGTGGCTCTACAAGCAGGCCAGTGCCACAGGACGTATCGAGTTCGTCAACGGCAAGGTCACAGAGCTCGTGACAGAGGGCGATCGAGTTGTCGGCGCGAAGCTGAGCGATTCCAAGGTTCTCAAGGCCGAAGTGGTCATGGTTGCTGCGGGTGCTTGGTCGGGTTCGCTTGTCGACCTTCGAGGTAGAACAGAGGCTACTGGCCATGCAGTCACCTACATGGACATTACACCAGAGGAGCAGAAGCGTCTGGATAACTTCCCTGTGGTACTGAATCTTAGCACTGGTTTGTTCCTCATCCCCCCACGAAACAACGTTCTCAAGGTCGCCCGCCACACGTTCGGATACATCAACCCTGTTAAGATCACCAACGCTCTTCCCCCTTCACCCAACGACAAGAGGGAGCCTTTCATCGCATCTCAACCCTACACCACCCGCAACGACTCAGCAAACCCTCTTTCTACCGAGGCCGACAAAGATCTCCGCCGTGCCCTCAAAGACTTGTGTCCTATCCGTGGCCTGGAAACCCGGCCATGGAGGGAGGCGCGAATCTGCTGGTACTCCGATACACGAGACGGCGAGTGGCTCATCGATTATCACCCTGGCTGGAAGGGACTCTTTGTCGCGACAGGAGACAGCGGGCACGGATACAAGTTCCTCCCCAACCTTGGTGAGAAGATCGCCGATGTCTTGCAAGGTCAGGGCGGCGAGCTTGGTGAGAAGTGGCGCTGGAGGGAGATGAAGAACGATGGCGTCGGAAGAGAGACAAATGGTGTGTATAATGGATTGATGACGCAGGACGGAAGCAGAGGCGGACGTCCCCTGGTATTATGTGATGAGCTCGCAAAGGGTCGGGCGCCAGTTGGAGAGGCCAAGGCCAAGCTATGATAGAACATCAGATGGTCTTGCCCGTCACATTTTGCTCCGCCCTGTATACATGTTTTCAGCGCAAATTTCGAATCGTTTAGGGCTTTAGATGATAATAGTTGAAGCGTTTGTAGTAGCAAAAGAAAATATTGTTTGTTGAAAACCGAACGTGTTTGTAATTGGAACGTGATATGACATGACATGACATGACAAGAAGGGAAGGTGAGCCCAGTGTAACATCATTGGACTACATTCTGGCAGCATAGTCCTATAGCGGGGCGAATGTAATAGGCAAGTGAAATAAGCCGAGAGAGGCGTCTCAGTTAACGCGGATATTCATATACATGAGTTCGTTAACCGGAAATGAATTGTCTGAAGTTGTGTGTGTCCAAGCTTGGAGCCGAGATTTGGACTCAAATGCAATCTATTTTAACATGTAGCCAGGGTATCAAGTATTGGTCCCTGAAAGCACAGGGTAGTAACTCAGTCTAGGCTATTTGAAAGTAGACTCTTCTGTTGTTTATTTGTGTAGGCATGTGGTAAAGTTTAAAGGCTGACTGTTTGATTATCGTGAAGACAATTAAATTTCAGGTTCGGAATACCCTATAAGGCGATTATCACATTCTTTCTGGATGATTCTTAAGCTCAAGATATCACAACCACATCTTTCATACAAGTCCATAATGCTATTTATTGTATAGATGCCTAGCCGAGAAGAGAATATCCCAACGGAATCTTTCATGGGCAGATCAGTACCAAAGTAGATTTGTCCTGTCGATTTACCCCAATCCACGCTTAAATTGCAGCCCAGGTATGGAAACAACGTACCGGCAACAACCGTCGTTATGCAGCCGAGACACAAATTAAAACGAGACACTGGCAAATAATGATTCAGCGTTAAAAAAGAAATATAAAATGGATCCTTCATACATTTACTACTCGCTATTGCAGCATAACTGTGTGTCTGCCGCTATCGGCATCACGTGATACCCTTTGGAGGGGCAAAGTTTTGATGTTGGAGATCGATTGATACCCTGGAACTAGTAACTCACGCATATCGTTTTATTGTTTCGCCAGGTTCTTTAAAATGTCCAGCCAGGATAACTCACCATGCCGGATTCTTGTCATGGCCTCAGGCTTTGGCTCTAATTTTCAAGCCATCATAGATGCGATTTCCACAGGTTCTCTCCCAAACAGTCGTATCATTTCTCTCATCGTGAACCGCAAGAATGCACATGCGACTGTTCGGGCAGAGAAAGCAGGTACGACATTTTTCTTATAGCCTTGGAGTTCACGTCTATTTGCACAATAACTAACTCATGACCAGGTATTCCATGGGAATACTTCAACCTGATCAGCGGCGGTTTCCTGAAGAAGGGAGAGACAGACGAGCAGAAAGTTGTTGAGGGCCGTCAAAAGTACGACGCCGCATTGGCAGAGAAAATCCTATCAGCAGAGGTGAAGCCTGAACTGATTGTTCTCGCTGGTTGGATGCACGTTTTCTCGACTGCTTTCCTTGATCCCATCAAAAAGGCGGGCATCAACATCATTAATCTTCATCCGTCAGTGTTCCCGATATATGTATTTGCCTAAGAAATTTGTTTGGACGCTAACTCTGCTTTTTCAGTGCGCTTCCTGGAGAATTTGACGGAGCTAGTGCCATTGAGCGAGCCTATGATGAATTCAAGGCCGGACGACTAACACGCTCGGGTATCATGGCCCACTACGTAATTGCTGAGGTTGACAGGGGTACTCCTATCCTGGTCAAGGAGATCGAGTGGAAGGGTGAGAGTCTAGAAGAGTATAAGGAAAAGGTGCACTCTCATGAGCACGAGCTGATTGTGAACGCAACAGCCAAGGTTGCGCAGGAGACAGTTCAAAAGAGGGCATCATAGCGTTGAGATGGCTTAGCCATGAGATAAAATGAAACAAAAAGAAGACACTGCACGAGAATGGCACGACTTATCCATTACGAGATATGAAAAGCAGCTTGTGCCTCGTTCGATAAGCATAATCATTCCAATCATATGAGACATGGTGAGAGTGAGTCTTGTTAGTGGTGTTGAAGGTTGCTTGGACCCACGTCTGGGTCTAGGTTAACTCGATGCGCCTCAAAGTTGCGACAGCCAAGCTCCGCTCAGCTCTAAACGACATCACTTCGTTCTCTTGTAGTCGACATTTCACTTTCCACTTTCGACCCCGAAACCACTCACGAGCACTAGAAATGTACCAATAAAAATCATTCGCGACACAAGACCGATCATGTCCTCCGGCAAGGGCGCCCCCGACTTCCCAAACCTAGAAGCTAAGCTTCAAAAACCATCCAAACAGTCTGCCTTTGAGAAGCAGAAAGCAGAGGCCGAAGCCAAGCGATTACGAGAAGAAGCCGAAACTGCCGCCGTGTACAACGAATTTGTTAAGAGTTTCGACCGCGACGATGATTATGATGGCCACAGCACGCCCGGCTATTCAGCGCCTTCGCGCCCTCGACAAGGATTTGGAGGCCCGCCGCCTCCCTCAGGACCTGGTCGACGACATTTTGGCACCTCAGGACTAAAGAGTGGTCCAGGAAGCTTGGGACCACCGCCGTCCACGTTCG